GAGGGTGTTCTTGTCCCTCATGGAGAGTGGCTGGTTTGACAATCTTCTCCTGGACATAGACCGAGCTGATGCCATTGTCAAAATGTTGGATGCAGGTGTGTGGACTTGGGCAGGTGGAGGTTCTCAGGTGACCAGGATCTTGGTGGGAAATGGAAGCAGGTTGAAAGAAGCCAGGCTCTTGATTGTGATCTTTGCTGTCCTTGTGGGTAGCTGTGATTAAGATGGAAGGAGGCACAGAGAATGATCTACGCATCCTGGAGCAAGAGGAAGAGGAGGAACAGCCAGGAAAGCCTGGGGAGCCCAGTAAGAAAGAGGAAGGCCGGGCTGGAGCAGGGCTGGGCGATGGAGAACGAAAGGCTGGTGATAAGGATGACAAGAAAGAAGATGGCAAGCAGGTCTGAACGATGGGGTCCCAAGGAGCTGGAACTAGAGGGCTGTGTGGGGCAGGGTAGGGAAGGTGAACCTCTGGGCTCATTTGTGAGGGGCAGATTAGACACCTCCAGCAGTGGTCTTTACCTGCAGGCAGAAAATGACGGCTCTAATGATGACAAAACTAAGAAATCTGAGGGCGATGGGGACAAGGAGGAGAAGAAAGAAGACTCGGAGAAGGAAGCTAAAAAGGTAAGGTGTCTATTGTGTGGGGCCAGCAATCAGGCTGGGGCCCGGGTAACCTGACAGTCTCTCCTCTGTGGGTTCCACAGAGTAGCAAGAAGCGAAACAGGAAGCACAGTGGCGACGACAGCTTCGATGAGGGCAGCGTGTCTGAGTCTGAGTCTGAGTCCGAGAGTGGCCAGGCTGAGGGGGACAAAGAGACCGGTAGGCTGCACAGGGGCGGGGCAAGGGGAGAGGGTGGTGAAGTTTGGAGGGGGTAGCTTTGGGGGAGATAACCTTGGCGTGGGGGTCAATAATAGCTTTTCTGTCTGCTTCATCAAAATCAATGCCAAAACCTCACCAACTCCTACCACTTCTGCATAGAAGGAGGACTTAAGGAAAAGGAGAAGCCCAAGGAAGAGGAAAGGGAGAAGCCTAAGGATGCTGCAGGGCTGGAATGTAAGCCCCGGCCTCTGCATAAGACTTGCTCCCTCTTCATGCGCAACATTGCACCCAATATCTCCCGGGCTGAGATCATCTCTGTGAGTGGGGAAATGGGTATTGGGCAGCCAGCCTGGCACCAGGCACAGATCCTTTGGGGTGGGGGGCAGAGAGAAGGCCGACTGGTTCTGCATGTCACATAGGGAGCCTCCTTCCTACTTCAAGGGCTGGCCCCGCTTGTACTCTGTCAAGTGCTGGGGTGCTTAAGCCCTTTACTGGTTTTTCCTTCCCCAAAGATAGGGTTAAAAATGAAGTGCCCTGGGGGATTGGAGGAACACATGATTCCTTGAATCACTGAGTGGGGTTTCTGTTCTCTCTGCATCTTGCAGCTTTGTAAAAGATACCCAGGTTTTATGCGTGTGGCACTGTCAGAGCCGCAGCCCGAGAGGAGGTGAGGGACTGGACACCTCAGAGAAGGAGGTACCGGGGAACTGCTTAAATGGCCCACGCTGTCTCCCACCTGGAATGGTGCTGATGTTCTTTCTCTTGTAGATTTTTCCGTCGTGGCTGGGTGACGTTTGACCGCAGTGTTAACATTAAAGAGATCTGTTGGAACCTGCAAAATATCCGAGTGAGTGCTGGGAGTGGGACTGTTGTAAAGAAGAGAGCATGTGGCTCTCTGTGTCCCCCCACAACTTCTGACTCCCTTGTTCCTTTGTTCTGGCCACTTTATCCATTCACTCTGCTCATGGTAACTGTCCGGTCCTGTGACCTCTCTGGTCCCTGTTCTCCGGGAGCTCACAGTCCAACAGTCACTGGTGTCCTCAGTCTGTGAGCTGCTGTTCCCGGGGCAGCTGTTGGTCAGCTTTCTGATGGTGTCCCCCTTGCAGCTCCGTGAGTGTGAGCTGAGCCCAGGTGTGAACAGAGACCTGACCCGGCGTGTGCGGAACATCAATGGCATTACCCAGCACAAGCAGATAGTGCGCAACGACATCAAGCTGGCAGCCAAGCTGATCCATACACTGGATGACAGAACCCAGCTCTGGGCTTCTGAGCCGGGGACACCTCCTCTGCCAACAGTCAGTGACTCCCCAGGGGACCATTTCCAAAGCAACCGACACCACCTCCTGTGTTCCTTACACCCCTGACCTCACTTGCTCTGTGGCAGTCAGTACCCCCTTGTGCCCACCCATGCCGTCACTTGTTTGTTCTTTGGGTCACCACCTCCATCTTCCACCAGGATCTGGGCTGGGGCAGGGCAAGTACAAGTGACAGCAGAGGTGACAGTTCCATCAAGTGAGCCAGGCTCCTCTCCTCTGCCTTCCTTTGTAGTTGGTAGGTTCCTGCCCTGAGGGCACTTTGCTGTCTCTCTGCTCCTTCTCCCTCCATAGCAGAGTCTGCCCTCACAGAACCCAATCCTGAAGAATATCACTGACTACCTGATCGAGGAAGTGAGTGCTGAGGAAGAGGAGCTACTGGGGAGCAGTGGGGGGGCTCCCCCTGAGGAGCCTCCGAAGGAAGGGAACCCAGCGGAGATCAATGTGGAGCGGGATGAGAAGCTGATCAAGGTGCCAGCTGTAGCCTTGTAGGGGGCTTGGGGAGCATGGGTTTGAGGGTGAAAGGGTGTCTTACTTTTTTTCTTTTGAGACAGGGTCTCACTATGTAGCCCAGGCTGGCCTTGAACCTGAGGTGATCCTCCTGTCTCAGCCTCCTGAGTGCTGGGATTACAGGCATGTGGCACCACATCCGGCCTTAAGTTACTTTCTTGTAGCTAAGACACAGTACTTGACTCCCACAATTCTTTTCTTTTTTTGGTTCCAGGGATTGAACTTGGGACCTTGCGCTTGCAAGGCAGGCACTGGAACCACTGAGCTAAATCCCTGGCCTGACACCCACAATTCTAAGGAGAAAAGGTTTATTTTGGTTCAGTTTGTAGAGCATAGTCAGCTTGCTGCAAGGCAGGGCAGCATAGCAGAGGAGGAAGACCTCATGGCATGGTGACAGGAAGGAGAGAGAGAGGGGCAGAGATCAAGGAAGCAGGTAGGGAGAAAAACCTTTCTCAGTCACACCCCCAGTGACCCACCTCCCACCAAGCTTCATCCCCTAAATCACACTTAGCTATAAACTCAGTAGTGGACTAACCCCTGGGAGTCACACCCACATGATCCAGTCACCTCCCCAGAGCCTACCTATATGAGCACCTAAGGCTTTGGAGGGACATTAGATAAAAACAAGGGGCCAGGGCCGGGGATTTAGCTCAGTGGTTTCGCCACCTGCTGCGTAAGCGCAAGGACCTGAGTTCGATCCCCGGTACCAAAAAAACACAAGGGGCCAGAGTGGGGACCCAGTGGCTTCCTGTCCCTTTAGGTTTTGGACAAGCTCCTCCTCTATCTGCGCATTGTGCATTCCCTGGATTATTACAACACCTGCGAGTACCCCAATGAGGACGAGATGCCCAATCGCTGCGGCATCATCCACGTTCGGGGGCCCATGCCTCCCAACCGCATCAGTCATGGAGAAGGTGCACCCCAGGTTCCCTGTTCCCGAGTCTTCCGTCTGTTTCTGCTACCCTCTCCTGGTCCCCTCCTGTCCCTGGCTTCTGCACACTTCTTCAGCCTGCCTTTTTCTGTTCCCCACCAGTGCTGGAGTGGCAGAAGACCTTTGAGGAGAAGCTGACCCCCTTGCTGAGTGTTCGGGAATCCCTTTCTGAGGAAGAGGCCCAGAAGATGGGCCGCAAAGATCCTGAGCAGGAAGTGGAAAAATTTGTTACCTCTAACACCCAGGAACTGGGCAAGGATAAGTGGCTATGTCCTCTCAGTGGCAAGAAATTCAAGGTCTGGGATGTTAGAGAACTGACCTGTTAGAATGGTGGGAGGCGGGGTTGGGCCTTGGGGGAAAATGCTCATGGGCTTGGCAGAAGGGAGGCTGTCCACCTTCCAGGTTGAGTCTGGGATTGGGGGAGCTTACTTTATTTGCTCTGTCCTGATCTTTTCCTCTCCACCCAGGGTCCTGAGTTTGTTCGCAAACATATCTTCAATAAACATGCAGAGAAGATTGAGGAGGTAAAGAAGGAAGTGGCGTTCTTTAACAACTTCCTCACAGATGCCAAACGCCCAGCTCTGCCGGAGATCAAGCCGGCCCAGCCACCTGGCCCTGCCCAGAGTAAGATACGATCTGAGAGGGTCTGGTGCATTTCTCCTCCTTGCACTGTGCAGGATTCCTCTTTTTTTTTTTTTTTTTTTTTAAAGGATTCCTCTCTAACCTGTCATCTCCTGAGAAGTTTCTTTTTGTTTTTCTTTTTTTTTTGGTACCAGGGATCGAACTCGGGTCCTTGTGCTTTCGCTGCAGGCGGCGAAACCACTGAGCTAAATCCCTGGCTCCTGAGAAGTTTCTATGGAATACTGAGGGCCATATTCCTTAGAAGTCACTTGTTGTGTTAATACTCCCCCCCCCCCCCCCGCAGTAATTCATGTCCCTGTCCGTGTTGTACTCCCCCCAGGTCTGACCCCGGGACTGCCCTACCCACACCAAACTCCCCAGGGCCTGATGCCCTATGGCCAGCCCCGGCCCCCCATTTTGGGCTATGGAGGTAAGTATGGGAGGTGAAAGGGCTTGGTGATTATGTGGAGCTGGGAGGAAGGAGACTTAGGCTGAACACTGGTCTTTTTCACAGCTGGTGCTGTGCGCCCTGCAGTCCCCACAGGAGGACCTCCATACCCCCATGCCCCATACGGTGCTGGCAGAGGGAACTATGATGCTTTCCGAGGCCAGGGTGGCTATCCTGGGAAACCTCGAAGCAGGTGAGAATGGGATGAGATGTCCAAGGCTCCTTGTGTCCAGCACACACAGGGACCCTCTGGTCTCATTGCCTTTTATCTCACAGGATGGTTCGGGGAGACCCCAGAGCCATTGTAGAGTATCGTGACCTGGATGCCCCAGATGATGTTGATTTCTTTTGAGCAGTCCACTTTCCCCCACTCTGTACTTCTACCTGCCTCATCCCATCAGCTGAGAATTTTTTTGTATGTTCAGTTTACTGCCAATAAAAGCACTGAAGTAGTGACTCTTAAAGTCTTTTTTTTTTTTTTGTACCAGGGATCACATTCGGGAGGTGGCACCACTGAGCTAAATACCCCACCACTCTTAAAAGTCTTAAGGTGTGCTGTATACCTTCTCACATCCTCGCAAACATCAGCTGGGGCCATGGTTAGCTGGGCCTTGTCACTTTATTGATGCTGAAGTTCCCTCTGCTCTGCTGGGACACTTGAGAAGTGAATAGGCACACAGGTGTGGGGTCAGTTTCAGTCCTGGGCGTGCTACTGCTTTTCAGAGTTACAGCTGGTCAAGCACAGGTTGTAGAAGGAGGTAGGATCGAAGGCGGTGGTCACCTCTTGCCAGCCCACCCATCCGGCAGCCTGTAGTTCTCTGGGCTTCTTCAGGGCGCCCCAGTAGTGAGGGTCCAGTATCAGGACGTAGGCTTCGGTGCCTGGTCCCACGCAGACGCCCAGTAGGGCCTTGGCCTGGGCATCGGCATCCCCTCCCACCATCACAGGGCCGCCGCCCCCTGCAAAGTGGGAGTAAAGCCGCTCCAGCTCGCTGTGAAGCCCCGCCCCGCGGGGCACGTGGCACAGGCGCCCCTGGGGCCCTCCGAAGTGCTCGAGGCAGAGGCAGGCCTCCACGCAGCCGATCCAGCTCAGGGAGCCCCGGAAGCGGGGGGGCTTGTCGCCCATATCCTCCAGGGCTGCCTGCACCGCGTTCAGTCCAGGCACCCCCGCTGCCTGGCCCTCGGGCCACGAGCACAGCGTCTGCAGCGTGCGGTAGCCGCAGCCCCAGCCGCGGTCGTCCAGCCCGTCGCAGCCGTAGTGATAGTAGAGGTAGTGGCCCGAGAGGACGGCCAGACGAGCAGGGCTGCGGCGCGGTGGGGCCAGGCCCAGGTGCACGTCCTGCAGCAGCTCCAGGGCGGCTGGCGGCGCGGGGTGAACCTCAGCGTTTCCTCTGGCACCCCGGTCTTGGATCATCTGTGGGCAGGAAGGGTGAGCGGGGTCGGGGCACTTGCACCGGATGTCAGAAAGGAGCGCAGCAGTGAGCCGGCGCTACGAGGAAACACCGACCACCGTGCTCCCACAATGCACTGTCGCGCCCGCCAGTCGGCTTCGTTGCGCAGGCGCGGGTCGGGTCCCGGCTTGGCGGCTAGCGCGCAGGCGCCGGGACGTTTCGGAGGCGGCCGGTCCCGCTGCCTCTGGTCCCCAGGTCTGTGGTGCCTCTCTCCCGCGATCCCGGCGCTCCGCCCCTGTCCCCGGGACCCCCAGTTGCGCACACTCCGGTGGCTGTAACAGTTTATTGGCAGCCCAGAGGGGCAAAGGCACCGCGGGGGAGGGAGCTCGTCCAGAGACATGCAGAGGACAGGGAACCCCGGGGGGAAGTCGGGGTCTGTTGGGCAGGGTCTGGGGCTCGTCTGTTATATCCCTGCCCTTCAATAAATAGTATATACAGCTGGGGGCCGGGCGGGGCCTGAGGATGTGGGGTCCCGCCGGGGTCACAGGTCTGAACAGCGATCCTGCTTGCTGTAATGGTCGAACTGGTTCTTCCAGTGCACCATGTAGGAGCTCCAGCGGTGGAACTCGGCCTTCCACTGGCGCTCCGCCTCGTCCAGCGTGTCTGCGGCGGGCGCCCGGCGGGGTGGGGGGAGGCGGCACGGCACGGAGGACAAGAAGGGGCGTGAGCGCAGGGGCAACGTACGGGTGAAGGAGGTCACGTGGGATGGTGGAAGGAGGACCACGGGAGTGTAGGCAAGACGGCAAACAGGGAGGATGAGGTAAGGGTGGGGCCAGAGAAGAATGGCAGGAAGCAGGCAGGAAGCAGGCAGGAAGAGGAAGTGACCGGAAGATGGAGATGGATGGGACCAGAAAGGCAGATCCACGGGTTGGTTGGTTGGCGGGGAGAAAAAGAGAAGAGACAGAAATGGTTGACTGTTGTAGCCCCCTGGGGGTGCTATCCATCCCCAGGTCCTCCCCTTCTCCCAACATCAGGCTCAAGCTCCAAAGGATAATTTTATAAGAAAGAAAAAAAATAAATAAATTGGCTTTTCATTTCCATTTAAACAAAGGCGAGTGGATCCCTGAGGCCTGTCCAGTTTGCGAACAGGGAGGGGGTGGTGGGTCCCTGAGAGGGGCCCTTCCCCTTGGTCCGGCCACGTGGCCATGCTTTAGAGGAGGGGCCCCTGACGCAGGAGGATAAGAGGCCAGAGGCCGTGGTCACAGCCGTAGGAGGAGGAGGAGGAGGAAGAGGAGGAAGAGGGTCAGGGGTAGGCCAGGCCTGGGCCTCGGGGCAGCCTCCCCATGGGTGGGGCCTGGGCAGATGCAGGGAGCCTCGGAGGCTGGGGGGAGAAGAGAGGGGTTACACCCAACCAACTCCCCCTCCCCCCTGCCCCCCGCCCCCCGCCCCGGCTCCCGCATACCGGTTGCACTGAGCAGTTTGGGCAGGAAGCGGTTCCAGAAGGCGCAGGCCTGGGCGCGAAGTCCCCTCCGCACCTCCAGGGACTGCAGGTTGAGGCTCACGTACTGCTGAGCTCCCGCAGTGTATGCGGGCCACTGAGGGGCTTTGGCGTCACGTGGGTCATTGGGGTCCCTGCGGAGGGAGAGGGAAGGCTCGGTTCCATGAAAAGGCGTGCAGCGCCCAGAGGGATGGGAAATGAAGATGAGGATGGGCAGAAGTGTGTCCTTCCTGACCCTGGGGCCTCGAGCCCTGTGGAGTCCCCCAGTCCTGCAGCCTGACTCCAGTTCTTTCTCTTCTCCAGCATTCCTTCTCACCCAGGAGTCTTCCCTTTCCTCCTGTGCACCCTGTCTCTTTTTTCCCTTCACTTCATTTTTCTATTCTTGTCTTTGTCTTTTTTTCCTTCTATTAAAAAAATAAAGGCTACTTTTGATTGGGCCCTTAGAATGTGTGTGTAACCTAGGCACAGCTGTGTCTCTGCAAACATCACTTCTACTTTGGGCAACACCAGTCTGATGCCAGATTTACTGCCCCTTTCTTCAGACAGGTAAAATGGAGAGGGAGAGCAAGAGCAAGAAAGAATATAAACCACTGCTGATCCAACTTGAGCTGGACAGCCCTCTCCTAACTACTGGATTTCCTTTGTCTTTATCTCTGTCTTTCTCTGTCTCTGTCCTTGTCTCCTAAGCTACCCCTCCCCGAACCTTCTCGTCTTTCCTTTGTTTCTCTGGCCCTCTTTTGTTTCCTTTTCCCTCCTGCCTCCCTTCCTCTCTGTGTGCCCTCCACACCCCATCCCTGCTGACCCTGTGCGGGCAAAGTTGGCCCAGTATCTCATCATTCGCTGGGCAAAGATTTTCTCCTCATTGGTGTAGTTCAGCGAGGGGTCCAGGGGTAGTCCAAAGATGAACTCAATCTCGTAGCCGTGGGGCACCCCCATCCAAAGTGGCCAGGTGAGCGTGGAGGCACGGTGTTCAAAGACAAAGGCATAGACTCGGGCCCCCTGGGCAGCGAGTCGCCCAGCCAGCTGGGCCACAGGGCACACGACATTGTGGTCGCCCACCACAGCACTCATGGCGTCCCGTAAGCGTGCTGGGTCCTCAGGATGCAGCCAGTCTGTGTAATGCAGGACCACAGCCTCGGCTGCCAGGTCGCTCACCTGGGGGACCCCGATGCGCACTCCAGCCAGGAACTGGGCCCGGCTGATGAGAGATTCGTTGTCTTTGCTGAAGCCTGGGGCCCCATAAACCAGAAAATAGGACCCCTCATCCTTCACCACACCCACCAGCACCTGGGGAGGGCAGGGACAGGATGGACAGGGCACAGACAGACAGGCAGACAGAGAGAGATGGACAAAGAGCCAGAGAGATGAACAGTTACAGATCCAGAACTGTGGAGGGAGAGAGCAGGAGACTGGGGGATGGAGAAAAGGAAAATATACCCACGCTCTTTTCCTCTCTGCCCCATGACTGCTCTGGGATTTGCACCCTCAGGGGAGGGGTCATGGGTCCCAGAAGCTTGGCCCTCTGAGAGTGGGTTTGCAGGAGTCCCATGCCTAGATCCCTGGGGAAGGGAGGGACGACCAGACCCCAAGGAACTAGCTCCACCCCAGCCAGTCACTAGTCACCTGCAGGCCATGGAAATCTCCAGCATTGATGAGGGCCTCAGGCGTGTCACTGAGGAAGTCTCCGTCCACCACTGGCACGAAGGAAAACCGGAAGATGCTTTCCTGGGGCAGCACGTGCCACTCATGGTCCACCAGATCCTGAGCTGGCCGTGTCCGCAGGCAGGCTACCAGTTCTGTGTCATTGCCACCAGCACCACCCGGGGGACAGCCTACAAGGCGGGCCAGCAGTGTGGCCCTGCGGCGGGCCTCTCCCATGCCCACTGTGGCCCAGGGCCCGTTGGGTGCACCGCTCTGCAGCACGACCCTGTGGAAGAGGCTCCGGCTGGGCGGGGACAGGACATGCATGCCCACAGAGGCAGCGCCTGCACTCTCCCCAAACAGAGTCACTGATGTTGGGTCCCCTCCGAAAGCTGCCACATTCTCTTGCACCCACTGCAGTGCCAGCCTCTGATCCAGCAGACCTACATTGCCGGGTGCCTCTCGACTCCCTGGTAGGGCCAAGAAGCCAAAGGTTCCCACCCGGTAGTTCATGGACACCAGCACTGTCCCCTCTGCCTGTGCCAGGAAGCGGCCATCATACACGTCCAGGGAGGAGGCCCCGCTGTAGAAGCCTCCCCCATAGATCCAGATGAGGACAGGGAGGGGGGATGCAGGCCGGGGGTACGGTGTCCACACATTGAGGTAGAGGCAGTCCTCGCTCAGCTCACGGTTTGGGTTCCACATCTCGGTGCCCTCAAAACCGGGGTACAAGGTGTCCACATATTGGTAGCAGACACTAGGGAAGGTCGTAGCATCCAGCACCCCTGTCCAGGGCCGCTTGGGCTCTGGTGGCAGAAAGCGTCGGGGACCCACAGGTGGCTCTGCAAAGGGGATGCCCAGAAAAGCAGAGACAAGGCCCCCGGGGGCCTTTAGGCGAATGCCCCGAAGCCGGCCCCCTCGAACCGTCACCAGCAGCTCTGGATCCTCCCGGCCCTCAGCCCCCACCCCTGCTCCCAGGAGGGAGAGGAGGAGGAGGAGTGGGGAGGCCAGGGAGGGCTTGTGCAGGGGACACCACGGGGGCCTCATGGCTGCCAGGGCAGGCGGGTGTCTGCTGGAAGAAAGAAAGGCAAAGGGTGAAGGCTGGCGGCGACCAGGAGGGAGATTAGGGAACAATCTTGCCCAAGGGTTATCACTTAGCTACAGAGGAGGTGGGGCAGGTTGGCAAGAGGTGGAGAGGAATGGAGGGAGGGAAGGAGACAGGCAGAGACAAGGACACAGGCAGGCAGGGAGGCAAGAGGGGACAGAGATCAGGCAGGTGCACACGCCCAGACAGATGCAGGAAAGGAGATAAGACGTGCCAAGGCGTATGCCCTCCTCACCTCGTCCCCTGTCTCTATGGCTTGGGCTGGGCCCTGTGCATGCAGTGCGGGTATCAAGGCGCAGTCCACGCAGTGGCCACAGGACAGGGGCGGGGCCCTCGCTGCTGGGTGCCACCACTGGGAGAGCTTGCAGGGGCTTCAAGGCACAGCCGTCTCTCCTGGGTTGGCCAGAGCCAGGGCCCTGAGGGAATGGGTTGGGCATTCAAGTGTGGGAGCTCTAGGTCTTGGGGCACCCCAAATTCTGCCTCCTCCACACCCTGTCACACCCTGCACCGCCTCATTTGCTGTCTGGTTCTGAGCTCTGGTACCTACTGGTTCCCATCAGCTGCTCCGTCCCCCCTCCCCGCTATGCCTAGTCCCAGCCAGCTGGGTGCCAACCCTGGCCCCCCGACCAGAGCCCTGGTCGTCAGACGTTGCAGTGCACGTCGCCGCCAGCGGGGGACAGTAGAGACCGAAGAGAGAACGGCTCTCCCAGCCCCGAGACCCGGAGCCGGGAACTTGAGGTGGGGGTAGGGGCTCCCGGGCATCTTAGAGGGACCTGAAGGGCGAGCCAGGATGCCTGTGTTCCAGGAGCTCCGGAGATCCCCGGCTGTAGGGGCGAGGACGCTATTTTGGGGCAGCAGCTGCTGTGGTTCCGGCATCTCCAGCCAAAGGATCAAAATTCCCCGGGTCGGAACTCCCCCCTCTCCCGGCGATCACCCCTCACCGAGTCTCCGATGCTTGAGCTGGGGTGGTGGTAGCGCTGAGATTAACTAGGAAACCCGAGTGGGGCTAATTATAACTCGGGGCTTCCGCTGAGCCTCCCCCCACCAAAAAAAAAAAAAAAAGAAAAAAACAGAGACGGAGACTCCGTGGGAGGGAGTTCCTGGGCCTCGGAGGGGCCTGGGCTGGGCGCTGCGCAGGGGTGCTAGGGTCGCCGCCCTCGGTATGAAGGAGCGGGGGACAGCCAGGCTCCAAGAACCTGCGCAGTTTTGGTTTCGCTTGAAACAGGGGCGTCTTCTAAGGTCCCCAGCCTCGGAGACGAGAGGGGAAGAGGCGCTCTGGGGTCCCCGCATCAACAAGAGCGGAGCGATGGCAGCTGGCCCCCCAGGGCGTGGGTAAGTACGAGGCGGCCCAGGAGAGTTAGGAGGAGTGCGCTGCAGCGGGGGGTGCACGCGGCGCCCCCTTTTGGGGGCCTAGATCGCTCCAGGCGCACTCGGTCCCCGGGGTGCCCAGTGACCCCCGGCCGGGGAGGGTCCCAGGCGGGGCGGAGGACTCACCTGAGGCGGGTGAGCGGGGCCGGGCTGCGCCAGGAGCTGGAGGCGGCCGCTTTCCCCCAGCACAGGCAGAGCTGACTGTGACAGCCGCTGCCTTCGGCCCCCCGCACACACCCCTCGGGCCGCGGCGCGGCGCCCCCGCCCGCCCCCGCCCGCCCCCGCCCACTGTCTCCGCCCCCGCCCCTCCCCGTCCCTCCTCCGAGCCGGGACCCCGAGGCCCAGACGCACTTGGGTGACAGACACTGCCAGACGGTGAGACGCGACCCGAAGACCCGCATTGGCGGGGCAGACACCCAGGGGACAGACAGAGGGTCAGACGCGAGACAGACTCCTGTAGTGACAGCCACAGACAAACTGACTTTCACAAACGGAGGACACAGGGATGACCTCGGTGGAGGTTGGGAAGTTGTTAGCTCAAGGACCTAATAAATGAGCATCTCTGGCCAGGACATAGTCAGGGGTGGCGTGGGAGGAGTGAGACGTAAAAGTGGGGACGAGGACCCCGTCAGGGTGGCACTGGCGGAGCAAACGACGTGGGACATGCCTGGGGATGAGGGGACACCTGTAGGAATGGAGATCGGAACGTGGGATCTCGAGGGGAAATGAAGGGGGCTCCCATGGAGGAAGAGGACCTCACGGGGAGGAGGAGGTGACACGGGGACATCCGAGAAGGCAAGCCAGCGTGGTGGCTCGCGCAAGGCTGCAGGGCGAGGCTGCAGCAGTGGAAACTTCCGGAAGCCCCGCGGGTGGGCTTGCGATGCTGGTTCCTTGACGGGTGACCTCGGACTTCGTCACCAGGGTCTGGCCGGGGCATGACATCACCAGCCCAAGCTTTCATTGGTTGCAGCGGCCAGCAGGTGGGAGCGGCCTGCCTCTGCCGCCATCCCCGCCTGCTCGGAGCAGCCAGAGCCGCGCAGACCCCCGCGCACCACCCTCCGGGGGTCACCCACGGGTACAGTGATGCCGTGGCGGCGTCCCCGTGTCCGCAGTGAGGGCAGGAACAGTGAGCAGCATTGCGCCCACGAGAGTTCACGGCGAAAAAGGGCTGCCTGCGGGGGGCTACAGGGTTGGAGCCCCCGGGCAGCGACGTGGGAGACCGGTCAGCACCGGCGAGCGTTGGGAGGTGCGCGCGCGCACGCGGCGGTGCGGGGCACAGCGTGGGCGTGCGGGGACGCGCACGCATGCTCTCTCTGGAAGTCCCGCGCTCCGCCGCTCTCCACGCACGCGTCTGCCACCGCCAGGGAGCAAAGGTCCCGGATCCCGGGGATTTGTGGCGGGCGCCGGCGTTCTCCCGAATCCAGAGTCTAGCCTGGCCCTGGGACACGCGGTTTCTAGCTCTCCAAGCCGGAGGATCCCTAACCCTCCTGCCGCGCGGGAACCAATCCCCGCAGGCCTGGCACATGCAGGCGCGGACACCCGCACCGGGTTCGCTCTGCTCACGCTGGCGGCGGCCGGCCGCCAGGTGTCGCCAGAGGCAGCCGCTCGGATCTGAATCTGGGTGGGGTAGGGGGTGTTGGAGATGAATCTTTTGCCATCACTTCCCAGGTCTCCTCTCCCCGCTCTTCTTTTCAGGCACCCCAAGCTCCATCCTTGACACTGAGGTCCCGTGGATCTACCCTTCCGCGTCCTGGACCCCTCCTCAAGGGCTCCGAGCCAGGCAGACCGTGTCACCTACTAAAGAGCAAGCCTAAGGCCTGAGGGCTGTGGGTGGCAATGGGCCGGTGGAAAGGATCTGGAAGTCCCCCCCGCCCCTCCCCCCCCCGGTAGTAATTATGGGTTATTAGCAAGGTGCAAACAAACGGTGAAAGGGCATGCAGAGGCCTGTCCCAGGCAGAAGCTATGGGATTTCGGGCCTTAAGGCCCTGCTAATGATAGGGCCTTGCCTCTCTGTCACTGTCCAAGACAGGCAGTAGCCGGCAGGCCTGTCACATAACCTCTGTGATGGTGAGTTCCTGTGGAGTCGCCCATTGCCTAGGGTTATCACGAGCTAATGATAGCTCGCCAAGTGAAAGGACAGGAGGGGCTCAGGGACAGGTCAGCTGGTCGAGGCCGGACCTGATAGAGTCAAGGACAGGGCACCAGGGTGAGCAGGAATCCTGCAGGGAGCAGGCTGTATATTCAGCTGGGCTGGGGTTAGTGGCTTTAGCCAATGGGAATGGTGCCCAGATGTCTGCAGGGCCTGGAGGCCAGAGCTGGGAGGAGGGCAGCTGCTGGCATCGGTGGGGCTGGTATCCGTGAGGTGTCTCTGCGAGACTCTTAATGCCTTTCCCAGAGGCTGTGGGGAGCAGCAAGCAGGGGAGGAAAGGGCAGTGGGGTTCTGAAGATGCTTGAGACTTGGGGCCAGGAAGGAGGTGGCCCCAGGAGCACTCAGGCCTGCACAGTGGAGGCCCCAAGGGCAGGGTGTTCCCTGCAGAGGGGCATCCTGGGGTCCATCTTTGGGGAGCCCCGGTCGGCTGCCCCACCTCTGAGAGGTGGCCCAGGGCCACACGTGTGTCCTAGGCCTGCAGTTTGTCCCAGGATTCTGAGAATGGGGGAGATGGTGAAGCTGCTATCCTCACCTCCGAGGGCTTTGATACTTGCAGCACACCCTGCCCTAAGAGGTGCAGGTGCCAGGAGATCCACAGGGAGCCATGGACTTGCCCCGGGCTGCTGCCAGCTGTCAGTGAGACCTCTGGAGAGCCACAGTCTGTTTCGGGCTCAGTTTCCCCACATGCTGAGTGATGGATTGGATTTGTCACGTCACAGGGCTGCACAGAGGGGCTGGTCCGCTTGCTTTGGGTGGGATCTCAGGGCTGTCCCATGAGGGTGGGCTGGGGCCACAGGAGGAGAAATACTGGCCCAGGTGGCCTTGAGTCACAGCCGGTGTGTGACGGCAGGAGGTGCTGTGGGATGGGAGTCACCAGGACACCAGGTGGATAAGGCTGCAGCCTTGATAAAGGCAGAATTTCCAGTAGCAGACTTTTCTTAGCTTGCGTTTCTCCCGAGCCTTTAGTCACTCAGGGGCTGAGCCTGCATCACCAGGACACCTTTCCCTATACAATGTGTTGTTGTTATCTCCTGACGTCCTCAGTGTCCTGCCCTGCAGGGTTCTCCCTGCGGGATGCCCTTGGTTCTTGGACTCTCCTTTCGCCACTTCTGTTCTTGCAGGAATCAATCTTGCACCTGCTATGGGTTCTATCAGTTCAGGGAACCCCTGCTTCTCTTGCAGTCCTTGCCCCTCCCCTGCTAACCAAAGGAATTATCATCTCTTCTGTTTATTGGTTAAGATTTTGTTCAGCTAATTGAGACCAAAACAAACAAACAAACAGACAAACTGGCTTAAAGACCATAAACAGAAATATATTTCTCTTTTACATAAGAGAGACCAAGAGTGGCCATGCAGGGTTCACACAGTGCCCTTGATATCAAAGACCAGGCTCCTTTACACAGAATCTTGCTACTCCACCATCTTTAGCCATACATCTTGTACTGCATGGTGTAAGATGGCTGCTGGAGCAAAGCCATCACATCCAAATTCCAGACAGCAGTAAGGATGAATTTGAAGGACAGTCCCTCTCCACATGCATCACTCGAGTTTACATCCCACTGGCCAGAGTGTAATTCTAAGGTCATAAATATTATGAAGGAGGTTTGGAGATGCAGCCTTTGTTCTGAGGACTGTGTAGATAAGATCTAATGTGGCTGTGGTGATGGGCGGGGAAAAGAGAACAGATACTGAGGGACGATCTTCGTTTGCCTTCCTTTGCCTGTCAGTGCAGGAATGAAAATACGTCTACAATCTTTCAACGCGCGAACATCCCTATTTCTCTCAGGGACACCCCCACCTCCGTGATTTCTGTGACCCCTGTCCCACCCTCTGCTGCTTCTCCTCATGCCGCGAGATAGACGTCCACTAGAGGGCGCTGTTGGCATCTCTGTGGCTCCCGAGGGAGGGGCGTCCAGGGCAGAGGCCCCTGAACACACCCGGAAGGGGTGAGGGCGGACAAGGAGTCCCAGACAGGGCAGCCTTGCCAGGTCCTGCCCCACGCCCGTGTGCACAAGGACGGATTGGTCAGGCCAAGGTGTCCTAGGCTTCCCTGCCTAAGGCTGGGTCTCCTGATGCGGCCATTACCCAGCTGCCTGGAAGCAGGTTGTTACTTGGCAGAGTGGGGTCCCTGAGGCCACGCTAGGGACTTTCCTCCCCCTGCTCGCCCGGTCCTTCATCCTCTGCTTAAGGATGTCCTTCATCCTCAGTCTAAAATTCCAGGCTGGGACTGGAGCTCAGTGGTTAAGCACTTGCCTTGCAGGGGAAAGGCCCTGGGCTCCATCCCCAGCAATGAAAAACAAATATTCCGAGTTACCATGGTTCCAAGTTACTGTGGTTCATCCCTGAGGTTCATCCTCCCGGTTTGTACTTTTCTCTCTCTTGCTAGTTTTAAGCGTTTCACACTTTTAATTTTTCTTCTGGTCCTGGGGCTGGAACCCTGGACCTTCACACTGTGCTGTCACATAACCTCTGTGATGATGAGTTCCTGTTTAGATGGGGTCGGGACAGGGTCATCACGAGCTAATAATGATAGCTTGGCAAGTGAAAGGACAGGGCGGGCTCAGGGACATGCCACTGCTGGGCCAGGCTGGACCAGGCTGGACCTTACGCTAGAATCAAGGACGGCACCAGGGTGAGCAGGAATCCCCCAGGGAGTCCCCTCTTTAATTTTGAGGCAAATTCTCACTGGGTCTCTAAATTGCCCAGGTTGGGTTTAAACTTGGGATCCTCCTGCCTCAGCCTCCCAGAGTGCGGGGATTACAGGCATGCAGCACCACACCCAGCCAATCTTCTTAAAGATTGTATCTGGATAGCTCACCTTATTTTTATAGTTGTGTTTACAAATGTTTCCTGTGCAGTTCATCAAACGTCCTGTTGCTTGGTCAAACCCTTCTCCAACTGGAGGTGGGGGCAACGTGGGGTTCACACACTTGAGCCGAGGACTGATCCTTGCCTCTCCAGGCTTCGTATCTGCCTGTGAGCTTTGTTTAATAGTTGTGCAATAGGTGAGTTCATTGAACTTCCTGTCACTACTGGTGTCCTTGATGTCAGCATTATCAGGAAAGCTGGGAAAGGTGGCGCAAGCCTGCAATCCTAGCGCTCTGGGAGGCTGAGGCAGGAGGACCAAAAGTCAGACCCCAGCCTGGGCAACTCAGTGACTTAGCGAAACCCTGACTCAAAATAAAAAAGAGCTGGGGATGTAGCTGAATGTGAAGGCCTTGAGTTCAAGCCCCAGCACTATTAAAAAAAAAAAAAAAGAAAGAAAAAAGAAAAGAAGAAGAAGCAGCAAAGCAGAGCAAAAGCACGACGCCCCACCCTGCCGCGGTCCCTGTCCTGCAGCTCATCAGGTGCTACCTGTCCCATCCTGACCTCTACAGTGCCTGACACGGTTTCTGTTTCCATGTCACAATGCACCCTGGGTGACTGCTTGGCCAGCTGGTGAGGTCACACTATGCTGTCTGTGTTTGACATCTGAGGAGCCCCTGGAAAGTTCCTGTCTGCTCCTGGCTGCCCTGCAGGATCCGAAGGCCCAGTGAGAGCCGGGCCGGAAGCGCAGGTCCCCCAGACGACCCCCTGCCATGGTTCCAGGGACCCTGAGTGTGGGACACAGAGGCTCAGAACAGTGCAGATGGGCTGCGAGGTTGCCCGAGGTGGCTGTGCAGGGACGCCGAGGTGGAGTTGGAGAGCAGCCCAGACCTGTGTTACTTCCGTGTCAGGACTTCCGGGATGGGGGGGCCTGTGCTCTGCCCCTCTCCCGTCCTTGTTCCGGGATCACTGTAGGGTGGCCCTGGCCCCTCTTAGCCACCTCCAGGAACCCTACATGGTTCCCAGAGACCTTGTCTCCAGATCACGAGCACAGTGTGTCACTGCCTGGACTTTGGAAGGGGACTCTGACCTCGAAGCTAGGGTGCTTCCGAGCACCTCACCCTTTCTGTGACTCCAGAAGTAGCCCCACGGTCTCTCAGCCCCTGGTGGCCCTTCCTTTCCAAGAAGAGAGGTGCAGGGCTCCTGGGATCCTCCTCCCTGCCTCTCTTCCCCACTTCCTAACCCTCTGCCCTCCATGTTTGTGTCTGTCTGTCTGTCTCTGTCTCTGTCTCCAGTTCTCTCTCTCCCTTTTGGGCCTCAGTTGGAGACCTGGCCTGTCAGACCTCCCAGCTCTTCCTGGACTGTGGATAGGAGGTGCCCCCTCAGCACTTTTGGGGAGCCAGTGCAGGATGCCTAGTTCTGGGGGACAAGAGGGACAGGTGGTTGGGTATGGGGGTGCATGCCTGTAATCCTAGCACTCTGGGAGGCTGAGGCAGGAGGATCACAAGTTGAAGCCTAGTCTGGGGCATGTAACAAGACTCCATCTCAAAATAAAAAATATAAAAGGGCTGGGGATGTAGCTCAATGAGAAGGCCTTGGGTTCATTCCCCAGTTCTGAAAAGAAGGGTGGGCAGCATAGGTGACACCCTCTACATTTGGTGTCGAGGGGCCATTCCCATCCTCACTGCCTTGGGGCTCTGTATTTCCTTCCACTCCCCCACTTCCAGACCCAGTGATCTCTGGGGACAGCAGAGGGCTGTCCTCAGCCAGGCTGCTGGGAATCCTGACATCCCCTATGGACAGAGGAGCTTCTCTCAGCCCCAGGGGCCACCTCCCTGACCCCCACTTCCTCAAGAATCACTTCTGGAGCTGCTGCCTCCTGCCCAGAGCAGCCCATTTCTTGGGGGCACCTTGGCCTTCAAGGGTTGAGGTTCACGGGGTCAGGGGACCCCCTCTTCCAGCCCCTTCTCAGTAGCAGGAAGACATGAGATCCACGGTGCTAGGAGAGAGGAAGGTGGAGCCCCCCTGCCACCGCTCCACTTCCCTACCCTTCCCCTCCCAGCTCACCTGGAGTTGGGGCCCAGCCATTGTTGGAGAGCCCTGGAGTAGGTGCGCACCAGGCGGCACTGTGTTTTGGTATTAGGAATTAGACCCAGGATCTTTGCACTGAGCTCCTCCAGCCCTTGATTTTGTATTTTGAGACAGGGTCTCTCTTAGTCACGAAATTGCTCAGGCTGGGCTGGAACTTGTGATCCTCCTGCCTCAGCCTCCCAGAGTGCTGAGATGACAGGTGCACACCACCATGGCTAGCTAGCTGCCTGCAAGGCAGCTTGAGGGCACTTTCCTCTCCCTTCGTCACTGCAGAGGGCTCAGCAGCCCTGTTCAGGGAGGCAGAGGAGACCTGAGGATCTCCGAAGAGCGGGGAGAAGTTATTTTCTGGCTGGGGGATTTCTTTCTATTTTGCATTTTATTTGGACAGTTAATGAGTTCATAAAATTTAAAAGAGATCCTCTTCTGGGCAGGGGGTTTAACTCAGTGGAGCTGCCACCTACCTTGAAAGCGCAAGGTCCTGAGTTCGATTCCCAGTACCAAAAAAAAATTATCTTTTTACCTCAGTTTTCCTCCCTAAAAGCAATATTTCTCTTGGGTTGAATTGCATATTCATGAATAGACTTCCTTCTGCCCTGCCCCCACCCCACTTTCCTCCTGCCTCCTGTTCACACTTTATGCTTTGCTTTGAGTATGGTTAGTCCCCCCTGAAACTCTTGCTGAAATTTAATTCCCATTATAAAATAGTGAGTGGGAACTTTAAGAAATGATTTGGTGCTAAGTACAGTGGTGCACACCTGTAATCCAAGCACTCTAGGGGGCTGAGGCAAGAGGCTAGAAAGTGGACTGGGGATTTAGCTCAGTGGTTCTGCTGCCTGCCTTGCAAGCAGAAGGACCCAAGTTCAATCTCCGGTACCAAAAAAAAAAAAGAGGATAGAAAGTTCAAAACTAGCTTGGGCAACTTAGTGACTTAGACCCTGGATCAAAATAAAAATTTAAAAAAGATCTGGGAAAACAGCTCATAGTGAAGGTGCTGGGTTCGATCCTGTGCTGGTTAGGGCAGAGTGTCAAATTTATGGCTTTGGGATACCCTCTGGGAATTAATAAAGCACACTGCTTGGTATATCTGGGTTGCTCATGGCCTTGGGGTCTACACCTGGTCCCTCACCCCTTCCCCCTAGCACTGTCCCTTGCTCTGCTTCCTGGCTGCCATGAACTAAGCAACCTTCCTCCTCTAGGCCCTTATACCATGATATTCCTGCCTTGGAGGCAGCCTACCATGAACTGAACCCTCTGAAACCATGAGCCAAATAGACTTTTCCTCATTTAAATTGGATGTTGGATATTGAGTCCCAGCAATGAGAAAGCTGACTAATACAAAGCCCCCCCCCCCACCAAAAAAAGTGATAAGGACTGTCTTTAGGAACTGATTAGGAATGGATTATTCCATTCACTCCAGTAGTAGATTCATGGGGGTCCCCTACACAGCTGGCCTAGCCACTTCATTGGTGCATCCCTATCTGTCACCACAGGAGGCCCTGGCCACCTCAGGGCTCTGCCAGTAAGAGGGGTGTGGCCTCTCAAACTTGTGCCAGAACCATGAGCCAAAGTAAACTTCTTTCCTTTGTGACGTGCCCAGTCTGTAGCACTGTGTCATTAGCAACAGCAAACAGACTAACACACACTTCTGCACTTGGCTTTTACAGTTTTAACCTATCATTTTTTTTTTTCACTGCTGAGAATTGAATCCAGAGCCTTTGCACTGAGCTACATCCCCAGCCTTGTATTATGAAAAAGCTGCAAAATTTACATTGTATCCTTAGCCTCCTTCAGTTTGGACAGCTCCTCAGTCTTCTGTCTTTCATGACCTTGATGCATTTGAAGAGCAGGCAATTACTCGGTAGGATGGTCCACAATTTACTTTTTATTTTTAATTTTTTTTTGCTGAACTCAGGACCTTGTGCTTTCGAGGCAGGCGAGGTGCCACTGAGCTAAATCCCTGGCCCCACAATTTATTTATTTATTTATTTTTGGTACTGGGGATCAAACTCGGGACCTTGTGCTTGCAAGGCAGGTGATGGAACCACTGAGCTAAATCCCCCGCCCTCCCACAATTTACTTTTTTTTTGGAACAGGGGAACGAACTTGTGTCCTTGCGCTTGGGAGGCAGGCAGTGGAACCACTGAGTTAAATCCCGGCCCCCCACAATTTACTTTTGAGTGACACTTGCTGGTGATTAGATTCAGGTGACGCGCCACGGCTGCAATACTGCAGAACTGCATTGTGGCCTTTGGGGACATCACAGCAGGAGGTACAGGATGGCGATGCCTATTGGGTGCTTGGTTAAGGGGTGTCCATGTGACCCCTCATCTCTGCTGTTGCAGTGTTATTTTCCCCTTTGTGGTTAATAAGTACCACAACAATATTTAAATTCCATTAAGAAAGAAAAAAATGCTGCCGATAATAAATCTGAGCATCCATTGTAAGATGCACACATGTTTTAGAAATGTTAAAAAGTGGAAAAATAGCCAGATGTAGTGGTGAACATCTATAACCCCAGCACTCCGGGAGGCTGAGGCAGGAGGACTGCAAGTCTGAGCCCAGCCTGGGCAACTTAGTGAGACCCTGTCAGACAAACAAAACAAAACAATAAAAGGGCTGGGGTTGTAGCTCAGTGCAGAGACCCTGGGTTCAATCCACAGTACTGCAAACAAAGCAAAACCAAAGTGGAAAAATATATCCCTTAGAACTAATGAAACACTGTATAATTCTTTAGGGATATGTTTTCTTTTTGGTCCAATGCATGGTAAAGCTTGTGAATGTTTCATTAGCACATGAAAAAATTTATACTTGAACTCATGGTCTTCCTGCCTCAGCTGCCCAATCAGCATATGAATTTTGATTTCTTGTGTGTCAGTGTTCTTTCTAATTTTTTTTTTCTCCTTACATTCTCTTATTGGTACATTCTAGGTATACAATATGTTTACATTTATCATTGGGTGCTTGTACCTATCTTTCTAATGTTTGTCTAATTGATTAATTAATTTTGTGGTGCTAAGAATGGGCTCTACCACTAAGCTACAACCCCAGCCCTCAAGTCTTTTTTGATAATAAGTGAGCTTGCTGGGCATGGTGGCAGACACCTGCAGTCCTGGCTAGCTGGGAGGCTCAGGCAGGGGGATGGCACGTTTGAGGTCATCCTGAGCAACTTAGAACCTGTGTCAAAATCAACTAAAAAGAACTGGGGATGTAGCTCATTGGGTTCAATCCCCTGCACCACTAAAAATAAAATAAAATAAAATAAAATAAAATAACCATTTGTTGAGCACACATGAAATGACTTTAATTCATTTCCTTTTATTTCTATGACAGCTATTTTTCTCTGCTATGTTTTTAACATTTCCTGTTTTTTATAACAATTTCACCATATGGTTGATTGATTCTTCCTTTTCTGTTGTTTTTTTGGTGGGTGGGGGGGAGTTTTGAAACAACATCTCACTATGTAGCCCAGGCTGGCCTTGTACTATGTGGTCCAGGCAGGCCTCAAACTTGTGGTGATCCTGCTGCCTCAGCCTCCAGAGTGCTGGGATTATAGGCATGAGCTCCTTTTGTGTGTTTTAACAGTATGGAATATTTAAGTTTTGTTATGAATAGTTGTGTTACTGTACGTATATTTTATACTATCAGTGTCTTGTTGATATCTTGCTGTGAGCAATAATGAGGCCAATATACTTTTTTCAACCTTCCTCCCTTCCCCCACTATCTATGTTATTATCTTTCTTAGTATTTACCTTTGTTAAGTATTTTATATATTTATTGCTTGTTTTAGTTTTAAATTATATTTCTGGAACTCTAGCTGTGAAAGGCAAGAGAATCAGCAAAATTATATACACTTCTACTTCTTTCCCTCTCAACAATATGCATTATTTTTATGCTGTCAAATTTTATAATCTAGACATTGAGTTTTTATTTTTAAATTTTTATTTATTTTTTCAGGCTGAACTTGAACTCACTATGTAGCCCAGGCTGCCCTGGAACTCATGGAGATCCTCCTGCCTCAGCCTCCCGAGTGTTGGGATTACAGGTGTGTACCACCATGCCCAGTTTACATTGTCTTTTTTAAGAAATAAAAAGTTGGGGCCAGGGATTTAGCTTAGTGGTTTTGCCACCTGCTGCACAAGCACAAGGTCCTGAGTTCGATCTCTGGTACCAAAAAAACCCAAAAAACAAAGTTGAGGCAGATATGTAATCCCAGTCCTCTGGGAGGCTGAGGCAGGAAGATAGCAAGTTTGAGCCCAGTCTGGGCAATTTAGCAATTTAGTGAGATACTGTCTCAAAATAAAAAGGGAGGGCTGGGGCTGTAGCTCAGTGCAAAGGCCCTGGGCTCAATCCCCAGTACCAAAACAAACAAACAAACAAACAAACAAAAAACAAAAAGACCTCAACCGTTTGTTGAACACATACGTTGTGATCCTCTTGTTGAGTGTTCTTGTACAACATCTGCAAGTCTGGAAATAGGCTTAAGATTCCAGAGGGAAACCCAAGTACACGAGAAGTTGTTGCTCAAAGTGGGTCAGGGGATGGTTCACAGCCCCACAGCTCTTGGGCAGTGGAGCTGGAATTCATTCCCACCCTGCTGTTCTCACCAGGCACACTTGGGGATGCAGTTTAGCTTTGCTGTGTGTCCCATACTCCTCAGTAAGACATGTATGTTTGGCTCCATAAATGTCTACTTTCCCCCTAAATCTACTCAGAGAGCACAGCCCTTAGGACCGTGGGCTCCAAGCCGGGCATGGTAGCACGCGTGGTGATCCCCACTATGGACACGTGGCTGGCCTCACATTTTAGCTATGGTGAATAATTCAGCCGTGGATGTGGTGGTACAAATACCTCTTTGGGATCCTTCTTTCAAATTTTTCGGGTGTACATGGAGAGGCGGGGGTGCTCAGGCACATGGGAATTCTGGCTTTAGTTGTATGAAGAATCACTTCAATGGCTGTAGCATTTAGCATTCTCACCAACAGGGTGCAAGGGTCCCATTTTCTCTATGTGCTCAGTAATACCCCTCCCTCCCTCCCTCCTTTCTTTCTTTTGCTGTGCTGGGAATGGAACCCAGGGCCTCGTGCATGTTAGGCAAGTGCTGTATCACTAACCTACATCCTCAGCATCCTACACATCTATGACATCTTAATGGGTGTGGGTGGTATCTCATTATACTTCTGATTTGCATTTTTCTTTTCTCTTTTTTTGAGACAGTGTCTCACTATGTAGTTCAGGCTGGCCTTGAACTCATTATGTAGCCCAGGCTGGACTCAAACTTGCAGTGATCCTCCTGCCTCAGCCTCCCAAGTATTGGGATTACAGGCTCATGCACCATGCCAGGCTTTGCATTTTCCTAGTGGTTTGTGGTGTTGAATATCTCTTCGTGTGCTTATTAGACATATGTATTTGTTCTTCTTCTTCTTTTTTTTTTTTTCGTACCGGGGATCAAACTCGGGATCTTGAGCTTGTGAGGCAGGCGGCAGAATCACTGTGCTAAACCCCGGCCCGGTATTTCTTCTTTGGGCAAATGTCAATTCTGGTTCTTTCTCAGT